ATTCTGATCATTTCTGATACGTACATGTTTGCCCTTAATCTCACTATTAGCCAATGAAGGCTGCACTATAGTACACTGTATTCACATGTATTCACTTGCGTCTATCCAATGATCACCAAGCAGGGCTACTTCACGTCCTTTCGAGAGTCGATTCCACCTAGAACCGCTAACACATATCGTTGAAATATAGTGATGACCCATCCAAGAAACATCATGGCCCATGCCACTGGAGTTCCCTCATCCTTCATGTTTGTTCGACCAGTCAACACCCCGGTCACCCTCGTCCAGTTCGGTGGACTCTCCAAACTCCGCCAGCTGTGGTCGCCCGCGAGTGCGCTGACCCACGCCGCTTCCACGGCGTCTGCGTCGGAGCGGGGGGGTCCGAATTCCAGGGTTTCGACTTGGATCTTGGTGGCTGCGGTGTTTGTTGGTTTGTTGGTGGGGTGTCCAGTCAGTGCTTTTGGAGATCGGCTTGAGAAGGCAGAGGCGCTTTTTATAGAACTGAGCTTTCGGGTGCGAGGAGGTTTGAGAAGATCTTCAAGAGTTCATGGAAAAAGGGTCCAGGGTGTCAAGTGGGAAGATTGACCCTTCAAGAAATTGACTGGTGAAAGCTCTTGGAACCGGAAATTGGAGCATGTTTTCCAACTTGAAATGGGGCTGGCAAGTAATGTGTTTCCTTTACATACCTGAGCATGTTGTTTTCAGCTTCCAAGTTGTTTCTGTGAGGTGTTATCAGAATCGAAGAGAGTGGCCTCCAATCTGAAAACAGGAATGAGGAAGAGTGGCCTCCAGTGCTGCAGAAGTGTGAGAACTGCAGGACCTTCCTGGAACACCAGCATTTTCCAGGACTTTGTCCTCCATGGCCAGTCTTCCTTGGCCTGTCTTTTTTGCGAAGACCGGCTGATGGGGACATGGTTGCGTACGCATGATCCAGAGAGAGTTTGATTGTTTTCTGGAGGCTCTGCTGGTGATCCCCAAATGCAGGCTGACCCTCAAAACCCGTCGACAGACGACGAGTTCGCGCACAGGTACCGTACGACCATCCAAGGGGTCACCATCGCTGGGCTACCGGACGCAGATCCTATAGTACTTATGGATACGGATTGGGTTTGCAATGAATAGCATGTTCAAAACTTTGGATGGTTCAGGTATGTGGCAGTGCAATGTGACCATGAAAGGTAGCACGGAATTCGCTCGCTCCTTACGAACTCGTCTTCTCCTTTCCATGATGCAGTGCATCGATATAGTTGGTTCTCACCAGCGTTCTTTCGGGACCCACCTCTCTGGAGCCTCAGAAGCGAACGAACCCGGGAACGAAGTGGGGCGAAACCAAGTATACGCGAGACGTTGCTGGTTAAGTGGGCCTCCACCTGAGAGGAGCGATGGCCTCCGCCCTATAGTAGCTTCTTAGCTATAGTACAAAAGGCGTTGAAAACAAAACAGCGTCATGTCCAGTTTGCATTTGCCTAGGTTATTGAACACGCGATGCAGGCATTCTTTTGTTCACCATGGCTCCACCATCGCTCCACCATCTCTTCGCTTCGCTCGGCTGCCAGTGACACCCACAACTTTCGCTTCTCCACGAGCTCCCAACCACCGTCCGGGGCTCCAGTACAAGGGCCAGGAGTGCTGAGTGCTTGGGCCCGGCGGAAACAGCATTGAGTGAAATCCTCACTGACTGGGGTTTTAGGGTTTTAGGGACACACAGACACACACTGTCCAGTGCCGAAAAGGGTGGTGATGCGTTGGAAAGGAATTGGAGACGAGCAACTGAGCGAGGCATATTTTCCGTGGCTTTTTTCTTGTTGAGCTGGGGATCCCCCAAGCTGGGGATGGAAGGATTTGCAGGTTGCGACTCCCAAACAGGTACCAACGATATCCCAAAACAACTGAGGGGAATGCGGATCGGCCTTGCCTCAATGTCTTTTTACTTTTCTCGGGGGATAGACAGATAGACACCTGCCAGACTGGCTGAGCCAGAAGTTTTGAGGTGAGAAGGCTGAGTCTCACCTATGGTAGCACCCAATCTCCCAATCTCCAGTGCTGTCAAAGTCTAAGGATGGATCCTTGGCCAACTTCATGCCGCCAAACAATGTGTCCCTCTAAGCATGCCGACATTCCAACTCAACAATTGCATACATAATTGTATATACATAATTGTGTATATTAACATATTCATTCATAATGATATTCATCATTCCCACCCCATCCCATCCACTGGCCAAACCGGACACCCCTATTCACCCCGGGTCCGGTCCTGCCGGTCAGGACCTTTCTTTTGGCGGTGCATCCGGGCGAAGTCGAACCAAAGGACGGCTGCGGCACGGTGACGACGCGTTGGACCACATCCGGAGGTTGGACCGGAATCTGACCACAAATACATTCCATCGCGCTGGTATAATATACGGATACGCAGGTTATTTGGCCCCCCAAATCCGGACGTATGCATTGTTTTTTTCAGGGAGGTGAGTGGATTTTGAGGTCCTAGATGTTACAGAGGGATGGCATTTCTGATTACGGTTCATGGAAAGAGAACTCCAGTTGTTGCCACCTGCTTCCGAGACGCCAGTTATAGAGTGACCAAAACCTGGTTTGACGCTGATTGGGACGTTTGTCAGCATATGTCAACCTTACTTCAGCATGTATTTGAGCCTAGGCTGCCGAGGCTATTATGTAGCTTGTAAGACTTCTGGATTCGAGGGTTGGTCAGGTCTTTTCGTGTGCTCCATGTGTCACCCAAGAGAACGAAGAACAAGATCTTGGGGTTGCCAGCGAGGCTGAGAAGCAGGACACCAACGATGGTCAACACGTTCCGATTCGTTCGCTTCGCCAAGCGACGCATGGGATCTTGTGCTGGTGGATCATGTGGGTCCGTGCAGAACCAGAAAACGGACAGGTCCAAAACCGAAAACGGATCCGGTCGTGCGTGCGTATCGTATGGGAGGATCGTATTGCTGGTGGGAGGATCCTGTTGGAAGACAGATCTTTGGTGGCATCCAAACCCATGAAATACCATGTTCCTTCTGACCTCCACTTTCCACTGAACCTTGCCATGCGCCTTAGGCCTTAGGCCCTGCGATCTCCATCCGAACCTCGGCGGCCTTAGGCCCTGGGCTCGACGGCCCCCGGCACCTGGGAGGCGATGCGACGTGATCGGGATCGGTGGAGGGAGGATCTGGAGAAAGACTGGGAAGCATGGAGGGATTGGCAATGGATTGACCTGCATGTTGCCATGTACTTTCCAACTTCAATTGGGGATGGTCTGTTCAGCTTGTTCACTTAGCAGTGAGGTGGGCCAACTTGGTGCCATTTCTATGTTTTCAGTGGCGAGGTGTTTATCATAGTTGGCAGATGGCCATCCACCCAATGTTCCTGCCTGGCCCAGTGTTAAGTAATTGAATAAACACTAGCAGCACAACAATGTGTGCATCAAGGCCGATTTGGCCAGCGTTGACGGTATGAGGGTCTAACCAACCTATGAATTTGTGAGCTTGCAGAGGCAGCGAAGCAACATCGCACATGCATTTGACGTTATTCCTGCCACTTTCCTGTTTCCTGAACACATTTCCCATCAGAATGCAACGGTCAAAAAAACTTCCCCACGAGGAGTTCAATGAAGAAAAAACACCAACAGAAATGCTCCGGAATGCTTGAATCAACTATGCTCCCTCGGGCATGGTCCCTTCCACCCTGCGCAGAACATGATCCTGGCAAGCACATCTCACCGTGCCTGTTTTTGCATATAGTATTAATTAAACCGACATGCTTAAAACTTGGAGTTTCCCAGGGAATTGTGCAGGTGTCATTTTGGGAGGAAGCAGCCTCAGCCCCTTGTGCGTATTGCACTCCTCTTTACAACAAACATATGCATATAAGCATCATAAGCTGAGCAGGAAGATGGTTCGTCAAAAAACAAAAAAAATCAACCAAATGTAGGTTAATTAGATGGATTCGTTGGAAATTATACACCCAGTTGGGCAAAACAAACACGTCCCTTTACTACTTGCTTTGCCTGCCACCAAAATAGACCCGCCCAAAACATCCACCCTTTTGCTGAAATCAACTGTCAGGATGACCCTGAGAGAAAGGTGCGTTGGTCTTTGGAGGTGCGACCACTCGATGGTGTTGTCTCGTGTTGTCCCGTGTTGTCTGGGCAACGGTTGACTTGGGTTCACCCGGTTAGGTAGCCCACATACAACACGGTTGGCACAAACGACCTGCACCATATCTTGAATTCTGAACAGCTTGCGATGCTCTGGAAGTTCTTTTCAGGCCCTGAACAACATGGTTTTGGTGAATCAAGGAGCTTATATCGTTTATCTTTTCATGGTTTATTCCTCCTTGAATGTTCACCCTTCAAGAACGCTTGAAAGGAGCCGTTGACGGCTGCAGGTGGTGTTGTTTGTTTGCGTGTGGATCAGATGTGTGTGTGGCAGCCCGCTGTCTGCGACCGGTGGACCGCCGACCGGTCGTCCATTCTGTTGGCAGCGGAAAAACCCACCCGTTCCGAAGCGCAGTCGAACTCCTCCCGGGTTCGCTGCTGGTTCGGTCGGCGAACATGATCGTCTTCCGTGTCCGCGCGGGCTCGCGGGCGGTGACCGGTTGCGGGTGTGTGTCGTGTGTTTTTGTGGGATGATGTGGGGGGGGGGTGAAAACACATGAAATCACACCGCGTGCGTGGACCCCCAAAAAGGCTGTGGGTCCAACGCATGTGAGTTTGTGGGTCCAACATGGCTTTGAGAGGACGAATTCTCACCCAGCGGAGTACCGAGCAGTTTCTTCCGACAGTGAAAAGCAGTTGAGAGACCTGCAGTTGAGAAGCTGAACAGTGTCACCAACTTAACTTGAGCCAAGTTACTGATATCCTAAAGGAGTGAATTGGCAGAATCTGGGTGCGTGGACAGATTGTTCCATTCTAGCTGCGATCTAGAATCACTTGACTAAAGTTATTACATTTCACATACCTCAGGACTGTTGGATGCTTGTGCTGGTTAAATTTTGAGGTTCCTGACTGTCGACAGCCTTCATGGGCTTCCTCATCCCATCAACGTCCCGCTTGGAAAGCAGCGTATGAAAGACAAAGCACCACCGACGGCCTTGGCAAGCTCAAGTCACGCCGTTTCGCCCCCATCGAATCCCTTCTCAATCCGAAGAAGATGGCGTTGCTCAAGCTGAGTTGCGCACCTTGGCAAAGCAAAGAGGATCACTTGGGCCCCAAAATGGGTTCATGCCGGTGAGTCCATCATCTTACCAGTGTTTTTCCCTATTTTTGGAAGGGTGTCCTGTTATGTATATCCGAATGCAAGCTGGCGGAATCAAGGGGTCTTCACCAGCCAAAGATGTATATATTGTGAATTAGGTGATCATGTGGGATCACAATCAAACGAGTTTACATCAATCATTTCAATACAGCACCCTAAGACTCCAGGCCACCCTGGGCATAGCCGAGGCTCCGACCCCGAATCCGGTCGCGCATTCGAAACCATCCACTGGTGCGACGGTGTCGGATGAAGTAGGCCGCTCTCCTATAAGGGTCACTCGTTCCCATGACCTTCCAAATAGAAGGGTCACTCGGCACCCGTGTTTTGCCTGAAGTATGACCCCAAATCCTCAGGAGGATATATAGTATCATTATGTATCATTCGATATCCTGAGTCCAGAGTCCACGCGTCACGCGTCCAGGCGAATTCAACTGTGGAGGAACACCTTAATTGAAGAGATGCGGTCTACGTCAGGCAGTCCACGGGTTTTGAAAGCAAATGAATCCATGGACCGCCCGACCCAGCTGTTCCGTTCATTTTCACTGGATGTTCAACAGTCTAATGGACACAGCACTCCAATTTATGGCACACGCTATGGCACACCATGTTTCGTCTCATGGAAAAGAAAGCGTTTGGCCAGGCAGTTCCTCTTTGTCGAAGAGTAGAGGACCACCCAACTCCGCTTTAAACCCAAAAGGTTGTCGTTACGTTTGGACATGTTGGGCGCCGAACGAGTCTGGCATTGTCGGGCCCCCCCTGCTGCCTTATTTGTTAGATTAGTTTGAAGTTTGGTGAGAGTATATGTGCCTTTGCCTTTCTCTATGAGTATGGTGAGACAGTTGTGAACCATTTCCATGCTCCATGTTGGCAACGGCGTCGCCCCATATGCGGCTTTACGTGTGTTCTTTACATCGCCAAACACCGCAGGGTGAGTCACATGGTCTCTTTGGACCACCGGAACGAGGGCGATGTCGACCACATCGCCCTCGAACCATGTAACATGACCCTCGGAGTGGCGAACCGGACGAAGCAATTCTCCGGTGTGCCTGGCGTTCCAGGAGTTGTCAGGAGTTTCAATGCAAGGGTATGATCTTTTGAGGGGACACCCCTACAAATCAGCCGCTTTGGAATTGATCTTACATGTTGATTGGACAATGCAACAACCTTGAGCTTCTGTTGACCAACTGGCCATTCACTAGTGTGACCCAAACTGTTGATAGGAATGGAGGATGTTTGAAGGAGGTTCATTTCCCAACCAATTTGTGGTCTTCGGTGTGGTCTTCATTTTTTGTTTAACAATATGCTGTTTGGACGTGTTTGGTGCTGAACTCAGTGTCTTGATGCTAGGACTCACTTTGCACTTCCTATAGTTTATATATAGGAAACTTCCGCCCACCTTTTTGAGAAACTTCCGAGTTACGTAGAACAACAACCCGTTTCCGCAAGCCTGGAAAAAAGGACACCAGGATGAGAATTGAGGAGGCGAGTTGAGGAGGCCCACTTTCTTTCATCATGAAGGCTTTTGCTTGGCGCATGCCTTGGAGCGTCTTTGGGTACTAAGGTAGCAGGAGCTTTTGTCTTACGGGTTGGCGTTGCCAATGCGAGCTTGGGCACTACAGAACACCCATGCCCCCGCGCGGCGGCGTCATGCCTAATATCGCGCACTCATGCCTGCCACTCACCTCACCATGTGCTGGGATAGAGCAACTCAGGTCATCCTGGCCGCGCTGGCCTCCGCCGAACACTGCGTCGAAGAAGCGTCCCTCTTGCAGGGCGTATCACAAGCAAAGTTGCAGGACATCAGGGCCGCGCTGCGCCGGCTTGCGGGGGCGGGGGAGTCCACGATGAGCCAGGTGAGGGGGCTGATAATGTTAAGGGAGCGGTACAATGTTGAATTTTTTCCAACAAAAAGTCGCAGCACTGGCATGGTATTGGGTGTCAGATGTGCGCTTTTTCAGCGACGCCAACCCACCATGGTGCACCAAGATTCGGCATGCCGAATGCCCAATGCCCAATCCCTCCAAGTGCCTAAGCGCTTAAAAATGTTATATATACTGTGTTTTTGAACACGCAACAACGACTTGTGGTTGTTGGTTTCCTGTGGCTTGGGTGTGCCACCCTGGTTTTCAGGCAATTTTTGGCACAAACCGATCGTTGTGATGACGTTGCAAAAAAAAAAGGTGTGGGCAAGAGAGTCCTGGATTAAGATTCGTTGCACCATTTCCCAATGGGCCTTGCACAGGGATTATTGTCATGATCAGGTTGTGTTTTCACTATTTTTTGTTTTTTTTCCAAAGCGGGCTGAAGACTAGGCAGTTGTTTGGCCGGTTGATCCCCAAGACTTAGCTAGTCGAGGAAATATCTATACACTTGGTTCCAGTCTCGCCGGAACAGTCTTTCCGTGGTCAGGAGAAAGTGCAGGAACTGCATGAACAAATTCCTGACCTCAACAAGATCCTGGACACCTGGCTCGGGGTCGAAACATACCCGCTCCATGGCCATCGGCCTGCCATCGGTCGGTCGAGTCCCTGGGTCTTGAGGGCCGGCACCTGCGGCCATCAGACAAGGGTTCTCTATTGACAGGTGAGTGAAAGCACCAATTGACCCCATGTTTGTCGAAATCATTTCAAGGCAATCTATACTGGGAGTCTTTCAACCACATCGCACTGTTGATGCATTTTTCCTACCCTCCCTCAGATTTGTCCCACTTTGAAGCATATTTGCACCATGCTGTTCCCTGACTGGACTGGACATTGAATTCTGTCATGGCCCTTCGGCAGCATGGCTCAAAGGGGAACCGTCAGTGGACACGCCCATGTTTGGCAAAACATATCATGTATATATACATCCCACAGGGTCCAGGTACCTCCTGAGCCTGGTTCTGGAGGTGAGTTCGTACTTCATTCCTGAGGTCGAACTGGGCCCTTCTTGGACCAATTCGAAGGCTCCTGGACCTTTGGGGCCGCCCATAAGGGCATGTATATAACAGGCCTCAGAATCCGTAGACCATCAGACTTGGCCAATCATCCAGTCTTCTGTGAAAAGGCACGCCTTTGGATTCACGCCTTTCGCTTCCGGTCGCAGAATCGGTCGTCGTTTCAGCCCCCCCCGGGGTGGGGCGCCACTCAGTCTCGCAAGAAGGTGGTGAAGGGAAGAGCAGCGGTTCGATGCGATACAAATGCGTGAACGAGAAACACGTTGCCCGAAGCAGTTCGGAAGTTTGGACATAGGGGTCACCTCGTTCAACGAAATGGTCCTGGACTCTTTTTAGGGTGATTGTTGCTCACGGAGTTCAGCCAATGGTCATGACTTCAGAGGGAACATGAGGGAACACCAAATGAAACTCGCGATTCTCGTTCCAGTTTTGGCACGAAGAACGTGGGATCTTCTTCCATGGTCCTTTCCGGATTGTCCAAGCTGTGCTTTGGTACAACGGCAAGGGACAACTGGAGATCGTGTCTACCGTATTGCGGAGCCGAGAGAAAGTCCTTGACGTCTCGCGATGCGCGTTTTTGACGCTTCCTTTGCAAGTTGGGGAGCGTGCTGCTGCTACACACTGGTTAGAAGATGATAAGTCAGTCCTGTACTGGCCTGACATGAGTTGAATATACATGTTGTACCTACGTGTCTGAAAACTGGAGAACCTTCAACAGACCAGTCCGGTGGCATATTGTATGGACAATTAGTCCTTTCCATTCCTTGACACGTCCGTTCACTCCCCCTTGTTGTCCATTTGATATAACTTGATCATCCACAAGTCCGGGGCAGCACGGACCCCTCCTCATTTGGACCACGAACCGAACGCCCAGCTTTGGGATGAACGCCCCCAGTCCACCGTTCCCGGTGGTGGAAAACAGAACACCAGACACTCCGGTGGACACCGGTGTACCGAGGAAAAGGCCAAGAGCGCGGTCAACGCTGGCATTGGCTCTTGGGACTCTTTGATGTTATTGTCTTGGTACTCTTAGACCCTTAGAGTCCTTTTGGTTTAGAAGGGATTTCTTACTAAACCATGATAAAAGTGAAAACCCCTAGCAAAGGACATGAACAGTCAGGTCAAGCTGGGTTTACTTTTAGTTCTTCCCCAGAGAAAAAGAAACATCATCACATAACACACACACACATAAAAAAATAAACAAGCAACCACACGACATGGGGCGAGGTTGGTGCTCTTCTCCCGTGTCGCCTCGGTCGCCGTGTCGCTTCGGTTGGGGTGCCTGGACGATCGATGTCGACCATGGCGGTCGACCGATGGCGACCCTTCACCCGGACGGGGACGGAATGAAGTCTCAACCGATGGCGACCCTTCTCCGGATGGCCATCCGGATGGCCGTTGGTATGGGGCGAAAACTCTTGCCCAGCTGGAAGCGAGCGAAAACACATGGTAACACCGTCAAAGACGGGTGGAACACGTTTGTCCGGGCAGACGCGTCCGGGCGTACGTGCACCGTCCGGGCAGACGCGTGCCTCGAGGCCAAATCACCACCCAGATGACTAGTGCCTTAGATGAGCTGAGGCTTGGCAGCATGAGGATCGTTCGACGCGTCGTTTGTTCAAGACCGCAATGGCTTCAATATAGGTTATACTACTCCATGAACAAATGGATCCGAAACCTCAGGAACCACATAAAGTGGCATAACATGGCGTGGCAGGACTCTCCTTAGGTATCTATCGTTTTCGTCCCAGTTCTTTCGCTCGGATCCACCTGGATCCACGACTGAACGTACTGGGCTGGGTCGGCCAAACCATGGACCCTCCGAAACCATCGCTCCACCCATCGAACCCTTTTGGAGAGTGTCAAGGCCGGAGAGCCCGGGCTCCCGGGCGAGCGAAGGCGCGGTTAGTGCGAAGTCGGGGCGAGCGAAGTCGGTGCTCCGCGGCGGTGCAGTCGGGACAGCCATGGCCATGAAGTTGTCCTTTCGACAGCTGAACGGTGAAGCGATGGTTCTTGAAGTCATGCCAGAAGTCACTGGTCGAGAACTCAAGGAGCGGATCAAGGATTGCCAGCTTTGGGATGATGAGCTCACACGTCAAACCACCAAGGTGGACTTTGTCGTGGGGGCGAGCAGAATACTGAAGAATGATGAGACAGCTGCACATGCAGGCCTTTCTCCAGAATCTGAAGTGACAGTAATTTTGAGAAAAAACATTGTGACATGCTCGCACAGACAGGAGTTTGCCCAGTTTCGTGATGAGATTGAGTATCCATTTACAGTTCAAATTCCAAGGAGTGCAACTAAAATCCGTCCAGAGGCATTCGTAAACTGCTACACTTTGGCAAGCGTGAACATCCCCGACTCGGTGACACTAATTGGGAGTGGAGCCTTTGCAGGTTGCAGCTCGTTGGCAAGTGTGAACATCCCCGACTCGGTGACACATATTGGGCGTGAAGCCTTTGAAGGTTGCAGCTCCTTGGCAAGTGTGACCATCCCCGACTCAGTGACCCAGATTGGGCTTGGAGCCTTCAAAAAATGCGAGGCGTTGGCTAGTGTGACCATCCCCAACTCAGTGACCAAGATTGGGTATGGAGCGTTTGCAGGATGCAGCTCGTTGGCAAGTGTGACCATCCCCGACTCAGTGACAGAGATTGGGGAAACAGCCTTCCAAGGGTGCAGTGCTTTGAGTTTGGTGGTGCCCATGACTCAGACCCGGTGGGAGTTTGGTCCCTTCATGGGCTGCAAACGCATGCCAAAGAATTCGATTGTCAAGAGTGCGCATACGACTGGTTTGCAGGTCGTTGGCAAGTGGCTCAAGTGTGGCCATCCCGAACTCGGTGACCCACATCGGGCGTAGAGCCTTTGCAGATTGCAGCTCATTGTGAGAAATAGATCGCACAAGATGAAACACTTCATGCATGCCATGCTCACATTGGGGTTGTTTGGGGGGTCAATGGGGGCGGCATATATGGCATACGTGGAGTGTTTGGGCAAGATGAACACCATATCCTTTCTCCAAAATCGTGAAACTGTTTGGGGATCACTCCACACCGTCAGGAGATCACCGAACCGCAGTGGGTTCACGGCCAGCGTGCCGCGGGGCCTGTGTTGTGAGCAGTCCTCAGTCACCAGACAATCACAACTGGTCCGAAATACTGCACACTCCAAGCAGGGGTCATGGGTTCATGAGTCATACCATGCGGTTCTTCACTTTTCGACCGGTCTTTTTTACTGGCTCAGTGGGGGTCAACAACCCCTCACTTGGTGCATCATCGGTTATGAGAGGAAACCTCCAGCCATTTTATGTTCATCTTCACAATTGCTTTTGGTACCTGGCTATGATTCTATGGTTCAAAACCAAAACACCTTGGTTGACTAAACCTGGCGCGGTCCACTTTTTTCGCAGGGGTGAGACTCGTCGACGGGCTCCGGGTGCCATGACACGTAAGGAATGAGACCATCAACGCCAATGCTGCGAAGCTCAACAACTCCGTCCAGAAGTGCCTCGGTGGCGCGACCAATGGCGGATACTCGGAACAGCCAAGCAATCAGACACGATCCGTGGCGGTTTCAGACATTTCAGAGCTGAGAATGGACCTCTACCAGTACCTCTACCCAGCCATCCACGGTTCAATTCACCACTCCGACATGCGTCCATCGGTCGGTTTCGCCGACATGGCCTGCGTCGCCTGGTTTCCGGAACCGTGTCCTGTCACCGTGATCCGACCGTGTCCCGGTCGTGTCCTTGACATGCAAATCTGGCAGTGTTTTGATTCCTTCTTAATTATTTTTGCATGCAAATCTGGAGGGTAAAATAGGCTAAAGTCCTGATATATAGTATATTGTGCTATATTGTGCTTATAACATGTGTAAAAACACAATATCTTGCATGGCTTCTGAAGAACTAAGATCGGCCTCAAGTCCAAGTCACAGGGAAAAAGAGTATAAGAAGAAAAACGTTGCCATGTTTAGATGAACAAGTCGCCCAACCTACTGATAGGCAGACCTCCCTGGTAGTCTATTCTGTTGATTTTCCGTGGGAAAAAAACATTTCCTCAGGGTTACCTTGACTCACAGCCACTTCTGTCCACCCGGACCTAACCGAGCTCGGGCTGGACGTGATACGCTCGGGCTTGGAAAAGGTATCGGTCAATGGTCAATGAATCGCCATGACATGGTTTTCAGGGTATGTTGGTAAACGATACAGTGACCTCCCAACGATAACTTTAGCTAATGCATGCAAGAATCAATTGAGGCTCTGCCGGTCGCTCATGTGTTTTGACCAGTCGGTTGCAGCAAAAACGGTGAGGTTCTCGTTTGAACCCCCCAAAAAGCCAGGTTTGAGGCCAGCATGGCTGCCAACTTCACCGTGGAGCACAACGTGACCCATTTCAAGGTGCGGTGCCGTCCGTTCTCCGAAGCTTTGGACGCTCCGCTACGGGACCCGTTCGGGTAGAACCGGTGCCGATGATGCGGCCGGTGCAGCGGGTTTCAGACTTCGCCACGGACGAGCGGGTGTCGAGTCGAGCGTCGTGGCTGGGCCGGTGTGGAGTTTTCTCGCGCCGGTCGACGGGTGTCGCTGTCGTACGGGTTGGGTACACCCACCGCGATCACCTAGCTTCAGCCTGCGAGCAGCTCACGACCGACGCGACCCAGAGAAAAACACCGGTCAACCGGTTGGTGCCGTGGCACCCGCCGTGGGGCGCTGGCTATCCGACCGGACCCGACCGGGATGAGTCCACCAAACGGTCCACCGCTCGGCGGATGAGTCACCGGCCCAGTTCGCAGGGCGATGGAGGTTCGTTCGGCGAGGTCGGTGTCACCCACCAGGAACCAAGCCCTAAAAGAACAAACTATTAGATATTATTAGCATTAGTGAATATTCCAGCTTCTTCAAAGTGACCTCTTTGGAGTGCCTAAGTGACCTCAAAGTGGGATAATCATGGGATATCAAAAGGCTTTGAAGAACCAGGTTAGTGACCTTTTGTAAAGGACATGCACAATCTTTTGGCATAATACACGCCGGACATCCAGTTTTGCGGTGAAAGACCTGGTTTGTCATAATTACTCAGAACCGTATGTCTCTTAAGAATCTGTATTTTTGTGGATGGTTTTGGGAAGATCGTGTATTATTGCAAAAAAAACGTTTTGCTCAAGATGCAACACCCTACATGTTTCTTTGCTTTTGGAATGTGCTGGCATGCCATAATGTAGACTCAATGTAAACCATTGATTAACACAAAACCCATATGAAGAGGTTCTACAGGGTTTTACAATCCAAATGGGAGATGTGATTTCATCAAGGCTCTTATGCTGTCCACATCCAAACGAGTTCGAAGTCTAACCCCAAAGGAACATCATGTAGAAAACCTAGACGAACACCCATTGGGTAAATATGCCCCACCTTGCTCTCAGAAGATGTTCTGGATCGTGTGGCCAGTACTGCCAGTGCATCGGAATCCCACCGATGTCGACTCCAGTTCCCCTTGAGTTGGGCGAAGAAACAAAACAAGACGGTTCTTGATCAAGTGGGCAGCTGGCATCTACATGGATTTGGTGCGTGTCTGAACCAGCAGATACCTCAGAGGATGGCAGACATTCTATTGAAATTTATTGTGTATATATATATATTAATGTCGTTTATTCTATATAAGAGGCTTACGCCCAACAGCGGGCCAGCAGGGTGTTCACTAGCAGTTGGCAGGGGACAGCAGGTGGAGGGGTAAGGGTTGTTGTTGTTGTTGCTGCTGCTGCTGTGGTTGTGGTTGTTCTTGTTGTTGTTGCTGTTAATCTTGTTTATGTGTTTGTTCTTGTTCTTGTTTGTTCCTTGTTGTTTTCCTTTTGTTTTATTGTTGTTTTCTGGTTGTGGCTGTGGCTGTTGTTGTTGTTGTGGTGGTGGTGGTGGTGGTGGTCCTTGTCGTTGTCGTTGTCGTGGTGGTTGTGATTGTTGTTGTTGTTGGTAGAGACAAGAACAGCCACCCAACATAGTTGTCACATGTTGCAAGTCAGGGATTTCGAAGGGACACTTTTAGGGATAGGGGCGAAGGTTTGGAGAGATAGGGTCGAAGGTTTGGAGAGATTTTAGAGGTGTTGCTGTGGGGAAGATCAAAAACAACAACGGGGCTGCAGGCTTTGTTTCTAGGGGGGTAGAGACAACAACATTTTTGACGGTGGAGGGCGTAAAAAACAACAACTGGGCTGCAGTTGTTGTTTCTAGGATGTGGTCCTGGTAGGTTTATTGACCAGTTGCAACAAGTATATGACAGTAAATGAGATGGGTAAAGACCACTAGTACTACTACGACTAGTACTAACTACTACCACTAGTACTATTTCCAGTAGTAACTATGAACACTAGTAACTATACTACCAGGACTACTACTACTACTACCACCACCACTACCACTACTACAACCACTAGCAGTAGTAGTACTACTACTACTGCTGCTGCTACTACTGCTACTGCTACTGCTACAACTACTACTTCCACTACCGCTACCGCTACCACTACCACTACCACTACCACGACTACTACTACTACTGCTACTACTACTATTACTACTACCACTACTACTACGGCTACTGCTACTGCTACTACTACTACCACCACGACTAGCACTGGTAAAATTGTTTGTTGGCTGGTTGCTTTTCTAGCGGGGGTGAAAAAGCAACGACGGGGCTGTAGATTTTGTGGCCACTCACTTGTAGTGACAAAAAGAAGGAAGACATTTTGTAACGGGGTTGCAGTTTCTCTTGTACCTTGGTGTTGTTGTTTGTTTGTTTGTTTGTTGGTTGGTTGGTTGGTTGGTTGGTTGGTTGGTTGGTTGGTTGGTT